ATCTGTATGCATATAGACTGACACACGCACATATATATATGCAAAGAGGAGAGAGTGCTCTGTGCCCCTATAGGATCACATCAAGATAAGCTCTACAAGGACTCGCTGCTATCCATGAGCTTTGAAAGTTCAATGATTTCACGCAAGCCTATCACTCTAATCTCTGCATTTTTCTTATTTAATCTCCTCTCCGTTTGGTTCCCTAGAAACCGCAGGAAAATTACCTCTTCTTAATCTTAACAAACCTTCAAGTCATTATTCACACGAAAACATAAATCGAGATTTTAGTTAGAGACGGAAACGCGAGTTTCATTTCTCAAAAAGATCGATTCATTTCAGATTTTCTTCAACTTTCCGTTGTTCTCCCTGAAACCAAACAGATTGCCAGAAATGTGGTTTTGTGTATAGGATTTTCTATGCATTAACGTGGTTTTTGTGTATTCAATTGATTTGAGTTGAGCTGTAATGACTAATGAGAGGTGATTATGCTCATGAGCATAATCATTGTGCTGGAAAATATTGGTGTAGAAGACTTTGATCTCCATTTTTTAAAATCAATTTAAGTGGCTACTTGATTGCTATTTTCCATTCGAAGTTACTTGAAACATATAAGATTTTTATGATTGATGAAAAAGAGACAGATGTGATTCTATACGTATTGGTAGGGCAGGGTTTCCGATAAGATTACGTTGGCTGTCATAATCATTGTGCTAGATTTCTGATGTCTTTAGTATTCTTCCGTGAACTTGTGGAGTTTTTCGTGCATTTATGAACAGACTGGAGCTGGGAAGACATATAGAATGGAGGTACTGTGAAGCTTTGGTAAATTTAATCTGGAAGTCGTGCCTACATGGATCAGAAACCTCATGAATAGGAACGTTTAACATTTCAAATCAGGGATGATAAACATTCACAATACCCTGTTACATGAGAAAGTTGTTTGCATCGGTATGATAAACACTCACACTAAATAGATTCTGCGTGTTTTTATGACTCCCCAAGGTAGAGATCTACATGGAGAAAGTCTTGCTCAAAATTATGGTTTGCTTTTACCTATCTTGGGTTGTTCTTCTCAGGGACCTTCTTGATTTTACAAAGGACAACATACAGATTAAGGAGAGCAAAGTGCGAGAAATATTGCTATCAGGGAGTTACAGAGGTAAGCTTAATTTCCTTGTCTTCGCTCTGTTGTTTATGTTTTTAAGTAAATTTCACTTTTGCCTTATCTTTACTTGCGTGGCAAGAAATTTGTGTTTATACTTGCAACTTCATTTTAAGTTTCCTTCACTGGATACTTGCAAGAAGCTTTGCTAAGCCTATCCGTAAGACACAGCTGCTTGATTACTCTATCTTCATACTCCTGTAAATAGTACAGCTTCTGATCTACAGCTTGAAATCTCAGGGTGGGATAGTTAATAGAGCAGTTGGAGAGACTCATCCTTTTCCTTTTCTTTTGCCTATATTTGAATTTATCCATTTCTTGCTTATGCTTCACTTATAAAAGAATCCAATAACAGCACTCCATTTGCCTCTCTTTTCTTGGTGAATATAGTGGCAACAATTCTTCTGATTCTTTTGGGACACTTAACGTAGACAGAAATGAACATGGCCAGCAGTTGAAGTCATTGTATTTTTATATTGAGTATTCAGCTAGAGTCGACTACAGATACGAGGTATTACCTTTTTTTCACATGTATGATCAATGCTTGAAGTGAAAGTCTTTTAAGATTTCATTGCTGTTGGCAGGGTGAAAACTGGGAAAGTAATTCCCGTGGACTTGGCGGGGTCAGAAAAGGTAGAGAAAACTGGAGCCGAAGGAAAAGTTCTTGAAGAAGCTAAGACTATCAACAAATCCATATCAGCTCTAGGAAATGTAATAAATTCTCTGACAAGGGGTCCAACTACCAAATCAAGCCATATTCCTTTTCTTGATTCATAACTTACCCGGATTCTACAAGATGCTCTTGTTAGTTTCTCGACACTGAATCCATTTTACAATAAAGTATCTCATCTTTGTATTGACTTCTGAGTCTCATCGTATAGGCTGAGAACTCCAGGACTGCATTTCTGTGTTGTTTCTCACCAAGCCCTTCAAATACATTAGAAACAATGTCTACACTTCGCTTTGGTACAAGGTATGAAAGTCCAAAGTCCACCATATGGAAACTGATGAAATCAGAAGAGGTGAATAGAAGAAAAAAGTTATGAGCACCTAGATTAGAAAATTCTTGATGTCTGAAAGTACAACGATGCCATTAATTAGTTTAAATGATAACCACATTGGAAACCATACATGCAATAATTACTGAATGATCTGTTTAAGGCAGTGCTAGGTTCCTGCATTCCTTTGAGGTCCTTCCATCTCTTGATTTCATTTTGGATTTTACATTGTTGGCAGGGCAAAGCATATAGAGGCATCATCTATAGTCAGCTGAAGAGAAGATAAACATGCCGAAAAACATGGAGAAATCACCCCAACTAAAGATGAGTCATGTGACCGAATTCTAAATAAGGTGAGAAGTAAATTGCGACATGAAAAAATTCTAAATAATCTGAGAATTAAGCCGTGACACTTTAACATGAACGATTTTAAATTTTGGTACTACGATAGTTTCCATTTGTAGTTAAGGGAGAGACTGGATGATGAAGATGTGAAGTTACTTGAGTAGTTATTCATACTGGAGGGATTAATCTTTGACATTGCTTCAGTAGAAGAGCTGGAATCAGGCTATCAAGATGTTACTTTGCAAATAATTTCCTCATTACAGCAGGCAGTAGAAGACAATGACTGGTCAGCACCTTTTCCTCTGCTTTCTGGCTGCCTAAACAACATTTTCGAAATCAAGGTGAAAATGAAGAAAGAACAGTTGTTTAATTCGTGTATCATGTGATTTATTTCTCACTTCGACATCAAGCAACTTTACCATTTTTGTCGCTGAAAGCAGTTCATGACTGCACTTTTGGAGTACTCAGAAGTGACAATTATTATGTTGAAGGAATTTGGCTCAAGTCCAAGAAGTCATCATACACCATCTAAGTATTACTTTGCAGTTTAAGAGTGAGAACCAGGCTCTTAAGGCAAGACTAGCAGATGCAGAAAGGTTTGATGCAATGCACAAGGAGACTGACGATAATGCTGGTGTTCTGCTTGAGATTTCAGGAATGATCAGGTTGTTATTTTCATGGGTTGGGTCATTCTAACCCTTCAAGATGGTGAGCTGAAACCGTGTGGCTAACTCAAGGCGCTGGCTAATGCAATATTTAGGGAATGCCACACTAGCACGGGAATTTTTTACAGGATAGTTTCTGATTCTGCTAAATACTGTAATGAACATATGAATTTTGGCTCTGGTTTTGCATCCTTTTGGACATAGAAAAGGAAGGTATCAAAGAAACCGCGCACTGTAAAGATATAAAATAGGTATAGGTTCTGATCCATCCAAATTGCATGATGGATTTGCCACCCTCTTTGAGTCTGTTCTGTAGTTTTTTGGTCACTGCTGCAAGTATTTTGCTCTGAGCGGTAATGGTCTGTTGATGAAAATTCATAATTTAGCCCTTCATTACTGTTATTAGTTTAGTTATAAAGACAAAAACAGCAATCTTTTTCAAATCTCAAACCTAAATTCGAACTTGGGTTTTCTTGTTTAGCTGCATATGGTGAGGCATGAGTTCCCAGACTCTAATCTCATGTTTTCCCGTTCAATATTTCGCGTGAGAAATGAATTGTGGCACTAATTTTGTGCCACTAGCGAATAATTGCCCATTGCCATTATGATCGGGCCCACTTCATTCTGGATGTAATGATGCTATTCATAGTTGTTATGTTTGATCTAGCATCCTGGGTTTACACGGAAAATCTGAAATTCAAAATCTAATTTAAGTTGGGTTTTTAGCTGAATCAAATAAAATATTAACTCGGTTAAATCTATATGACTTAATCAAGTTTTTAATTATTAGGTTAACTTAACTATACTAAATATAAACTTGACAAGTCAGGCACTAGAAAAAGAAGAGAACAAAATGCTACTATTTTAATTAAAAAAATAATTGACTTGATGACCTAAAAATTGACCTGATAATCTAAATCTTTTTTCAAATCAATTTTTTAATCAAATATAATATTATTCATGTTATTTATTTCAGAATTTAGCGTGATATTTCCAACAATTATAGTGTTATTCAGAGTTTTTAATAATTTAATTTGTTTTTCAAATTAATTCTTTAATTAAATATAATATCATTCATGTTATTTATATCGGAATTTAGCATGATATTTCTAACAATTATAGTGTTATTCAGAGTTTTTATAAGATAAATGGTTACTAATTCTTGAAAGGAAAGGGAAAGGTGAAAAGATATGATTGGAGATAAAATAAAAATAAAAAAATAAATCAAATGAATTTGAGTTAAGGTTTTGAAAATCATAAGTTGACTTGTATAATTTTATAATTTTATATGTAAATTTGTTTTTAGTATGTAAAATTAAACTAAAATTTTAAAAATTAATAAAATTAAATTTAACTCAAGTAAACTCAATAAAATTGTGCAAACTCGGAATTTAACACTGATTTGTTATGAGTTTTGATGGAATATAAATACTACATTCATCAACTCTCTTTTCTCTCAAATTAAACAAAAAAAAAAAAAACCCTAGCACACTCTCAAACCACCCGACACCAATCTCTCTTTCTAAGCTCTTTTTCTTGGACTTGATTAGGCTTGTTCGGCTCCCATTGGGCCCTCTTGTTTCTTTCTCTCTCTCTGTTTTTTTTTCCCTCCTCTTTGTCGGGTTGGGTTTGGCCACCTCTCTCTCTCTCTCTCTTCTTGATGGACTCGGTTGGTTTTGGTTGCTATTCCCCGACTGGCCCTTGTTCATCTTCCCCCTTCAATTGGCGTTTGGGAAGACATGGAAATTAACAATCACGGCTACAAGTCTACAAATATGTGTAATGAGTCTACAGACCTAAGAGATTACTTCGGATTCTTGAGTCTTGAGTTATGTTTCTAACGTACTGGTCGTGGCCTTATGCGTGCACCCAAGAACATTTTGGAGTAAAATAGCGAGGAAAGGAAACAACACTTAAAAGTATGCTACACAACCAAAGGATAAAAAAACTTTGCTTTCGGGGCAACGAGGCACTTAACTTGCCTTTCCATAACTCAAAGCAAGCATTCCCTATGCCCATAAAAGCACCAAACTTCTCTAATTATTACACAGCTTCTTAGCTTCTAGGATTGAGAAGTTAACTACTGATCATGGCTAGCAGAAAAATTGCTCTCCAAGTTTTCACCCTTTTATCCATCATATCATCTGTTGCAAATTCAATTGATTTCAATTACCCTGCAGTGTTCAATTTTGGTGATTCAAACTCTGACACAGGTGACCTTGCTGCTGGTCTAGGCTTCCTCCTTGATCCACCTAATGGACAAATTTACTTCAAAACTGCCACAGGAAGGTTCTGTGATGGCCGTCTCATTGTTGATTTTCTAAGTAAACTTTCTATTCTCTAACCGTGCCAAAGATTGCCATTTTTTATGCATTCAATATGATTTTGTTTGCACATTCAATAGCTAATCTAGTCATGCTACGTTTCTGTACTGCTATATTCAAGTATGATTATGGTTATCAAACCCGCTCACCTATTTTACTTATCCATTTTGTAACTTAATATCTGAATCAGGTTGAATTTATTTTAGATTTATTTAAAAAGTTGATCCAGTTAAATTTGAATAATCTAGTAAATTGACTTGTAATCTAATTGACCGGCTAAATTAAATAAAATTTTATCCAGTTAATTCTAAAAAATTCAAAAATTAATTTCAGATCTTAAATGGTATCAAACAATCACATAACCAAACAAAATGATTAATTTTTTCTTTCCTCGTGTCCATTTCAAATAAGTTCGAGGATTCTTGAATTGCACACAATGCCCCACCACCATTTTTATTTCTTCATGGTTGGTAACTATTATTTAAGAGTGAAAGGTCCTGGTCTTTTTCTTTCATCAGTGAAGACATATCCTCATCCTCTATAGCCCTAGCCCGTCAATGGAAACCAAAAACTTTTTCCTCCATGTTCTCGCATTAATCTCCATCTTCTTGCCACTGGCACAATCAGTGCATTTCAAGTTTCCTGCTGTTTTCAACTTTGGTGATTCAAATTCTGACACTGGAAACCTTGTTGGGGCTGGCATTGAAAGCATTCGACTACCTTATGGGGAAATTCACTTTCAAATACCATCTGGGAGATACTGTGATGGCCGTCTCATTATTGATTTCCTCAGTAAATCTCCCACTATCATCGCAATTTTTCATGCCTTCTAGTTTGTATCATGTCAGCTCCGTTTCTATACTATGTTATTCCCCTGTTTTCTCCGTTTTGAGGAAGACAAGCCTTTCCCTCTGTTTTCTCTGTTTTCTTGCTCTGTGTTCCCCTGTTTCTTCTGTTACTTAGGATGGAATAAATCCCATTTTCTTGTTGATATATTGTATAATTGTTCCTTTTGTGCTAAATGCCTTTATTTTTTAGGAATGTTTAGGAGGTAAGTAATGTTAAGTACAAGAATTGATTGATAATAGCAATGCAGTTAGAAATACAAGAATCTGAAATATTTTGTTTTCCAGTTTTTTTTTCCTTCAATATTCACACTCTGTTTCCTCTGTTTTCAAGTAGGAAGTATTGCAATTTGTTTCTTTCATTCATGTGGGTGTGTGTTTTCCAGTGGATGCAATGGAGCTGCCCTTCCTAAATGCATATTTGGAGTCAGTTGGGGTGCCGAATTTTCGTAAAGGATGCAACTTTGCAGCTGCAGGATCAACTATACTTCCAGCAACTGCAACATCTGTGAGCCCATTTTCCTTCGGAGTTCAAGTGAATCAGTTTCTACGATTCAAAGCTCGAGTTCTCGAATTGCTAGCCAAAGGTATGTACATGGCTCACTCTCATACTGTAAGCCGCCATTACTGAGAAAAACTTGTTTGACGGTGATGTGGATTCAGTTTGATAAAGTTCTTACGCAAATGTTAATGCCTGAAGTATGGCAAGAAGTGTAAGAATCATTGATAGTTTTTTTATGTTTCAAACCTTGTCACAGGTAAGAGATTTGATAGATACGTACCAGCAGAAGACTATTTTCAGAAGGGTCTATACATGTTTGATATTGGCCAGAATGATCTTGCCGGTGCATTTTACTCGAAAACACTTGATCAAATTGTTGCTTCAATCCCAAACATCTTGGTCGAATTCGAAACCGGGATCAAGGTTAGATCCTAGTTCTGTCATTTCCTTTTCTTTAAATTTTTTTGACACTAAGCTGTATTGAAAGGAACATGAAATCTGCAACACTGATTGATTATTTTCATGCTCTAGAAACTATATGACCAAGGAGGTAGGAATTTTTGGATCCACAACACGGGTCCTCTTGGTTGCTTGACTCAGAACGTTGCAAAGTTCGGAACTGATCCATCAAAGCTTGATGAGCTGGGATGTGTAAGTGGGCATAATCAAGCAGCTAAGCTTTTAAATCTTCAGCTTCATGCTCTCACTAAAAAGCTGCAAGGCCAATACGCTGATTCAAATATCACATATGTTGATATCTACACAATAAAATCCAACCTCATTGCTAATTATTCCCGATACGGTTAGTAATCCTCAGTTCCTTTATTATGAATTTTTTTTTAGTTTTCATCTTTTTCTTATCAAAAGAGATGGAAAAGTCTAAGGAAAGAAAAGACATTAGGTTCTGAGTGAATATGAATTTGCAGGATTTGAGCAACCCATAATGGCATGCTGTGGATATGGAGGACCACCACTAAACTATGACAGCAGGATTTCTTGTGGGCAAACAAAAGTTTTGAATGGGACCAGTGTCACAGCCAAAGCATGCAGTGATAGTACTGAGTATGTGAATTGGGATGGAATTCATTATTCAGAGGCAGCTAATCAGTATATTTCATCACAAATACTCACTGGAAAATTTTCGGATCCGCCATTCTCTGATAGAATGCCTTTCCTTCTCAATCTCAAGTTCTGAGGAGCTAATTTGCTGACTGTGCTGTAATTATTCTATTCGTTCTTATTTCATTTGTTTACAGCTGAAGATTAAATGCAAGCACTAATATTATTAATAAGTTCTGACTGGTGCTCCTAGATCTGATTCTTAGCTACAGAAGCTTGATGTTGCAGATTGCAACACCAAAAACCTATTTTCTCAGAGTTTGTCGTAGAATTAGCACCAGGACAATGATATGATACTGTGAGCATAAGATGAAACCATGGTTCTATACACATTTCATGAGCATAAACCAAAAATCTGTACTTATCCTCTGGTTGCAAGTTTCTCGTCAAGAACATTACATACATTTGTACACCTATGCGCCACCAGGTTTTGTCGAAACCTGGAGGAAAAATTTTGAGAAACAAGCCTAAAAACAGGGTTATGACCTATTTCTTTGAAACATAAGCATAGTATTGCGCCATGGGAACAACAAAAGCAATCACCAATAGACCTCCAACCACTAGAGTGAATTGTCCCCTCTTCTCCTCTGTCTCTTCCTTGCTTTTGAAGTTGGATTCTCGTTTGTTTTCTTTAGTCGTCGGACCGCCTGGATCTGGAAGCCCATCGATAGCAGCCACTAACCTCTTGGCGCTGCTATAAATCGCTTCATTGTATTTTTCTTCCGTCGCCAAGACTGCAATTAAGAACCACATGGTCATCAGCATCACTGTTCTATCTCAACTAATGCAGTTCTTATGATCATGATGTTAAATGAAAAATGGACAAGAAATCTTTTCGTTATAATCTTAGCTCTAAAATTGATGACGTTTGAGCTTGCTAGAGAGTTGCAACATGAGCAAGCACACGTAACTTGAGCATCCTCATCTCTAAGACTAATGACATCTGAGCTTGTGTGACAATTGCATCATGTGCAAATACAATGAATTTGTGTTGTGTATAAAATAATCTCATTTCAACAAAACAGAACTACTATAATAACAGTTGAGTCAGAAATGATGTGTGAATAGGGCACAAAGGATGAACTCAGTACTCTTTAACACCTGTGCTGAGATCCAATGGTATACTATGTTAGCATTTCAGAACTTAGTTGGACCTCAAGATTCCTAAACCTCAGTAGCTTGTGTGCAGCTAGCGTTTGATAATAGAATTAGGCCCATCTCCTTCTGAATCAACAGAAAACCAACTTAAGTTTCATAAGATTGTAGGTAGTTTCCCTTTCTTGGATCTTTCAAAAAGATAACTTCTCAATAGCAGTGTAAACCAGCATAGAATGGATGTTTACACCTCTAGAGTACCATGGTATTGAAAATTAAAGCAGTCTTGAACACTTTGCAGGACAAATGGTGTTTTGAATTTCCCATTTTTCATTTCAAAAATCAATCAATTGTGAAGCATCACTTTGTAATGAAATTTAAGTGCTTAAAGAATTTTAATGTTGTGCATGAGAACTGAACAAAGGATAGAATCTCCATCATGCTTAAGCTCTGTCTGTATTTTGGGATCCCTTAAACTTTTGTTTAGAGCTTCATTAGGATCCCTCCACCATCCCTCACCATTTCAAATGAAATATCGTTTCAACCAGACCTGTTAAAGCTGTTTAGATTGAACAAAAAGGCCACCCTAACTACCATGAAACACAATGAACTAAGGAAATCTGGGGAAACTAATCACCAACTTGAAAATTGTACAGTAAATGCATAGTTACCAGGAAGGTTCTCCGAGACAGTGGAATCAAGAACAGTTTCTCCAACCGCTTGGATAAATGCAGGCCCCCCTGTAATTGCCCCTTCCTTTTGGCTGGTTACAAGCACAACAATTCCCTTGTTGTTGCCGTCTTCAACACTAGGATACCATTTCTCCAGAACTTGGTCGGCATATTCAAAAGCATCTGCTTTGCTCTGCAACAAACATAATCTTTATTCAGTTATATGCATCTATGAAAGAGTTAAAGGAAAACACACATGCCTTTAAACTTGTCATCTATTAATTTGGCAATAATGTAACCCAGATTGTAACAGTAAAAGACAAATGTCTACAAGTCAGTTTACTTGCTGTTCCATTTCTCGGAACAATCAAAAGCTTGCTTCAAAAGTTGAAATAATCATAGTTTGCTAGACTAACTACACATTCAAATCAACAAGGAAATGATACCGAAAGACTTACAGTAAGCTTTCTAACAGTAATGAAATTGATCTTGAAGTTCTTCCTCGATTCCAAATCAGATAACAGCTGCTTCAGATCAGATTTAGTCACTCTACTAAGCACACCAGCATCATCAAATATATAAGACTCTTTTGGTGGCCCTTCATTGAGCACGTCAAATTCAGAAGCTTGAGCATTTCCAATATACAACAGTGGACTAAAGTTGAGTGCCAAAGAGAGAGCTAATGCTGCTAGGCCTTGTTGAGCATAACTGAACCAGCTATTGGGCACCGACAAAGATTGAGAAGTGTGCCTTTTGAGGCTAGAAGTGATGCTCTTGTGGGTGAAAGAGAGTGAGTTTGATCTTGTTTGAAGAGAAGGTAGCAAATGGGATTTCGAAGAGGATGGTTTTGAGTTGAGGAGAGGAGAAAGAGAGTGCGAAGAAAGTAAGGTTTCCATGGGAATGAGAGTGAGAGTGAGAGATCAACAGAACAGAAATGGCGGTCACAGAGAGGGAGATATTATGTTTTCTACATCATTTTCGGGTCTCTCTTTGGTTGAGTAATTTGAGTGGTTTGGATTTCTTTTGTTTTGAGGAATTTGAGTGGTTTGGATTTCTTTTGTTTTGGATTGGCTGGCTGTTATTTGAAATGGATAACCCCCTCTCACTCAGCCATGCAAAGACTATGGGGTCACTTTGGTCCATCCAGGATTGATAAATATAATTTATGTGGCATTATCACATAATCATAGAGATAATCCGATGAGAAAGAGAATCAAACTACTTACAATTACGATGAATGATAACATAATTTGGTAAAATTTACTCCAAATCTCCAACATACCCTTCCATTGTTAAGAGGATCCAAGAGATAAAAGCCCCACCACTACCCCACATTATCTTCCCTCCATTTTTTTTCAACGACCATGAAATCCAAACTCACTATCTCATGGCCATTCTCCTGTCCCTCTCTCCTCACCGCCACCCTCCTCCTCTAAACCCTCCACAAAATCCAAACCCCAATAGCCCAAAACCAACCCCTCAAGCCACTAGCCTCCTCAGCACCATCTCTAGGAGACAGTTCATCTTCAAAACTACTTCACTTTGTCTCATTTCCTTAGCCACTCAACACCCTCTTGCACAAGCCTTAGCTGAACCTTCTCCACCTTTAAAATCTGTTCTTTCCATCCTTGCCAATACAAAATCTTGGTTTCAGTTCTATGGTGATGGTTTTTCCATCAGGGTCCCTCCTCAATTTGAGGACATCATGGAACCAGAGGTATATTTATCTTAATTTTTGTTATGGCTTTACTATTCACCCATACATTCTTATGTTTTTAACTGTTTTGAGTTCAAGTTTGAATCTCTTGAGTTCTTTTTTATCAATGTTGGTAGTCATGGGTATGGTGTTTTGGCTGGTATTGCTAACATTTTGCACAATTTATTCTTATCAATATGCAATGAATTGGCATGTATAATTTTAGTTTAGTGGGTTTTAAAGGATAAAGGATGCTGCAAATTGACCATTGGTGATAGATTCAGTAAGCTTTGAGACTAGAACTTTCAAAATCAATTCAGTTTTTCTTAGAGTTAGATATCTTGATTGAGGGAATGTAGAGTATTGAATATCAAATGTGTTCACAATGTCAGAAATTTTTTTTCATCGACTTGGTTATTGTATCTTGTTATTAGGATTACAGTGCTGGGCTGTCTTTATATGGAGATAAGGCAAAGCCAAAGACCTTTGCAGCCCGTTTTGCATCTTCTGATGGGTATATCATTTTACAGCAAGTTCATTCTCTTCGATGTATATATTTATTTAGCTTTCCATTGGAGTAAAGCATAAAACTTTATAGTAAAGGTCATAGTGTTCACGCAAGTTTTTTGTTGCATTTTCTTTTTGTCAACATAGATCTGAAGTTCTAAGTGTTGTCGTTCGCCCTTCCAATCAACTGAAGATCACCTTCTTAGAGGTTTGTGTGGTGAAAATTGTCAAACTTTCACCTTTATTCTAGTATTGGTTTGGTTCTGTATTACTCTGCAGACTCATTAAACGTCCTTGTTCATTTTCATGGTTAAATTTGGAACTAAGGCAGTTGATTGTAACTCTTGACATGTCTACTTCGTCAAATTAGTTAATTTCATTGCAAACATCTGCGAGATTAAAGTCTGCTATAATTTAATGCCCCCAACTAAGTATCTTATTGTCAGGGCACAATGCCAGCATTTTCCCTGATTTTAAACATGGTAGGATATCTAATCCAAGACAACAATGATTTTTCAGGTTATCTAGGGTTATTATCTTGTAACTTAACCTCTATATGAGTTTTCCTGTAGCCATTATGGTGGGATGGCAGATATCACTCCATTGTGAATTCCATTATCCTTTTGCTGTCATAATTCACAACCTTCAAGTCTTGTACCTATTTCCAAATAAGAAAGGAAAGTAAAATGGATGAATAATGCCACCCCCCCACCCCCCCCCCCCCCCCCCCCTTATTTTAGATTGTTCCAATTTTAAGATCTCAAAGAGTAATTCTCCGACAAACTATGTACTTTGCTAACATGGACAGGCTAAAGATATTACTGATTTGGGATCATTGAAGGAGGCTGCAAAAATCTTTGTTCCAGGTCTGTCTTTGCATTCAGTTGTGTTATTCTTGAAGTTTTGATTCTTAGAACCAAAAATCTTTTGTATCTATCGAACTTTCTTGTGGTTTAAAAAAAAAAAAATTAAATGGTTTCCACTTTTCCTGCTGATCGTTTGTCATTTGAAAAAACAAGTAGATTAGCATTCTTCTCAACTATCTTGTTCTGGTAGCTCAATTTATCTGCAATGGCAGGTGGGACAACTTTATACTCTGCCCGTACACTAAAAATAAAAGAAGAGGAAGGTTACAGGTAAATTTATCTATCTTTGCTTGATTCTGGGGCTCTTCAATTCTAAATAATGCTATTGAAGTAGAACA